GTTAATTAAAACACTCTAAAAGTGTAAAAATATTATTACTACTCTATTATTTTATGATTTTAATCATTTTATTATTAGGAAATAAAATCAAAAAAACCCTGTCTACAGCTATGTAATATACCTTATCATTAAGTTTACCTAACATACAAGAAACTATAACAATTGAGGAGTTAAATTTGGATTCAATAATAAATCGTTGTAAAGGATAAATTATTCAATGTTGAGACGGTCTATGAGCATAAATTAATAAATACATTAATTTATTAAAATAAATTTATATTGCTTTTTTAAATTTTTTTTATTACTAGTCATACAGTTGCTAAAATTAGTTTTTAACAAAATCATCACATTTATAGTATTGTAATATTTTGATTAAATACCAATTTACCGTATAACCATGGAATATATTCTTTGCATAAGTATGCGATTACATAATATCAATACAAATATTTTTTTTTAAATATTATTGGTGAGAATAGTAAAATTAATAACTATACGCACAAGTTCTGAGTCTCTACGAACACTATTTTTAAATTGCAACAAGATAGCTGACATCATTCCTCTTTAAATATCTAATTTCATAAAAATGCCCTATTTAATTTTTTAAGTTAAAGTGAAAACCTAATAACTATTCGTATACAAGTCACTGTCTTAAATATAGAAATAGAAACTTTTATACATTTTTAATATATTTTTTTTAAATATTCAATAAAACTGTAACTTTAAACTTTATAAGAAAAGTATCTTGCATAATATGTAGGTATCTTTAAACTACCAAAAAAACTTATGTGTGATTTACTATTCAGATTTCAAGCCTTTTAACTAAGTTTTTAATATTTTAAAAAATGAACTATGAAAAATCAAAAATTTTAAATGTTTATAAATAGAAAAAAATTCTTTTAAATGTATGTAAATGTAAAATAATAATCTGAGTAATAGTAAAGTATTTCAAATTCTTATTATTAATATTTTTTGAATTATAACATAATAAAAAAGTTTGTTTAAGGATAAATCGTTATTATATGTTTGAATATCCAATATTTACATATTAACTTCAATCTTTCATAAACAATATTATGAGGTTTTATATGAAACTTTTTTTTTTAATCTTGCAATACAACTTTTAAAAAATTTTTTATTAAATTTCAAGACTTGAATTGTTAAAATTAAAAATATTAACTTAAATAATAATATGAAAACTTTCATAATTTCGATTTATTTAGTAAAATGTAACATTTAATTACTTTAATAAAACATTGTGATCATATGTTTTCTATGTTTTTAATTGGTGTACAATTTACCAGCTATTTTTCCAAAAAAAAAAAAAAAAAAATTCTAAAATAAATAAATGTATGAAAGTTTTAATATGCATTGATATCTCATAAATAAACTAAAATATTTTTAAATTTATATCATGTTTTATAAAAATATATAAAATATATAGTGAAATAATTAAGTATATATTAGAATGTATTAATTAGCTTTTTAGTTACAGCAAAAAAAAAAAATATAATTAATATTAGAGTAAACTATTTATTTTTTTTTTTTTTTAATGTTGTGTTTGCATAATTTTTTGATTTCGTTAACTGGGTTATTTTTAAACTTACTAAAAAATTTTTACTTTTGACCCTCAACAATTTTAATGAGAACCTAATTTTCTATTAGAAACCACATTCAATGTTGAAAATGGATGAATGTTTAATGCTTCCAAAGATAATGTAATACACAAATAAAAAAATTTAATTGTAAGACCAATACATTAGTTGCTTTGCTCGGAATTTAAAAATATAATAGGTAGGTAAATATTTTTCTAAAATTTAAGACATATTTAATGTACAAAATAATATTATGTGTATATGTATTGTTATATTTGTATAAATATATTTAATGTTATAACAACATAGAGAATTAGCCTAAAATATTATTTTTATTTTTTTGTTTTATTGTTGTAAAATATGCGCTCAGAAAGGTTACAATTAATTTAGTATATAACTTGGGGGAAAAAAAAAATTTTGTCATTGGTATGACTTTTTCCTCAACGAGTGCTAATGTTATATTGCATCGTGTGCTTATTTTTTTTTTTATTGTGTTGTAAAATATTTTAGACATAATTCTATTGTGCATTTTATTGTGAGAGTGGGACCACATTTTTTTGTTTTTTTGATGAGTTGTTCTTTACTTTTTAACAAAAGTCTATTTAAATCAGAAAAAAAAAATGAGTCATTTTTTATTTTTATTTTTATTATTTATTGATGGTATTATAAGTTCCTTCATTAGTTTTCTAGGATTAAATAATTTCTTTATGAATAGAGGTTTTAAAATTGCTTAGTGCTTACCCTTGATATGTTTTTTATAGTAATATTTAAACCCATTTTAGTTACTTAGTTGGCCATCCTATCCATGTACAATATAAAAAAAAAATTATTATTTTTTAAATTTGTCATTTGTGTCCACTTACATCAATTTTGAGTCAATTACACTTTACTGCTACTATGGTATGATATTGTACAGAAATTATTATTGTGCATAAGACTATTGCAATTTTAAATAAAAAAAAAAAAATGATGAACTACGACATTACTAATTACAATATTAGTGATAATATTGCTTCATCTAATCTTTTTCAACTTTAAAAAACATGGTATAATAGTTTTAAAAACATGATTAATTAATATTATATTTTATATAATTTAATAGTGAATTACCTAATAATAGTAATTGCGACCTATTATTATAGTATTTTAAATTCAAACACAACAATAATGACATAACTGCACGAATATAAATTAATTTTTGTTTTACAAATGTGTTGACTCAAACATGATAAAGTGATAGAATCATAACTTTTAAAAATAAAAATCGAAATGAAAACAAAAATTACGTCTACTTCCAACAAAAAACCAAAATTATTTATATCTCATATACATGTGTATTGGTTCGTTTGCTTCCGGAAATGTATGTTTTTCTGTCCAAGTTTTAGGGTTTTTTCGCCAACATCTTCCTTTTTACCTTCTACCGTCTTTATCGTTGTTTTCATTGTAAATAAATGTAGAGTGGTTTTTTTTTATTATTATTATTTCGGTTACGCAGCAATTACACACACACACAGAAAACCCAGAGCATAGTCTCGATAATCAGTCGGGTCGAGACCGTTGTGGTGGTAGTGGTGGTGGCGGTGGTGGTTTATGGGTTTGGTCGCCGCGCTGTCTGGTCTATAGCGGTAACCACGGTTACCGGCAGTCGTACCCCCCGACTTACGTTCTACAGTGGTTACCAAAAAAATCGCCACGTAAACTTCTATAACAGACACATTATTACTTTAAGAATATATATATATATATGATTTATGATCTCATATATATATTAAATTTACTACTCTTGATAGAGACATTAGATGTAAGCGTATCGCCAGTACAGTCATATTCGGTAAATTATTTTTTTTTCATCTCCTATCTACCCCTAAACTTTCACCACGCGTAAATAGAACAATATAAGCTATACCAATGAATAAACATATATTATTGTTTATCTTTTTTCACAGTCTCAACTCTCTACCTATTCTTTTGATCCATTTTTTGCGCTTCGCCGTCTAAAAGGCTGATTGATGAGGACATGCAAAACACAAGTGCGCGACAGAACACGTTCCGTCTATTATTTTGCGTTATATGTATATACGCACATGACATAAACTTTAGTTACCTATATATGCGTGGCGATAGCCCTAAAACATTAATAGCAGTCAATTTCAAAAATTTTAAACGATTTCCGCACATTATTATTATTACTATTATTTTATGCGCAGTAATTGGGCTGACAAAAACACGCCACAATATAACAACAGCTCGTTGGCTTACCTGATATTTTCCGTTTTTTCGCTATATTTTACTTCACGACCAGACGAGCTGCTGCAATGTATATCGTTCACCTATGCCGCATATATTATAAATGTATAACTAACGCGCTAGTCAACACGGTTATTTATATATACTTATACTTTAATATCACGCATTATAGTATTATGCATAGTAGTCATGTGGTGGGAAACACCGAAAACGTTTTTCACGCAATCGAAATAAACGGCTGTATGTTTTTTAATCTATTTTTAAAGCAATTTTATACTGAATAAAAACCGCTAATCTATGATAATTAGGTTTGCATGTTTTTATGTATTTAATATGTAAAATCTTAAATCATACATCATAAACTCCGCCGGTCATGTATGATTTGAAAATTTTCTTGATCAACCAATGTGAGTTCTGCACGATGCTAGTTGCATTTAAATGTACGTTACCATATGATGTCTATATACGTATTATGTAACATAATACTAAATTGTAATAATAATAAAAATATTAATCGAAAAACACTAATGTTAAGTGATTCAAAAACTGATATGTTTATTATTATTTGATTATTTTTTACAAAATAAGTAAAATTGTTGTAACTCTTGCATGCCATATTAGTGTATGTCCATAAATTTAAGAGTATAACATTAAACATTATAATACCCATTTATAACAATTTCGTTTATGTTTATCGCGTAAATTTATAGTTGGATGATTTTTAGTTTCGATTAATATCGTAGGTCACCTATATTAACGAGTTTCTGCTATATATAATGTACCTATATTATTTTATAATATAATCTCTGTGGATAAGAACATTTTAATGTGGTATGCACTAAATAAATAATTTGTTGAAAATTGTTTCGCTTGTGATGTCACAAGCGTTTTTAAAAATACTTTTATATTGTCAATCTGTGACCATTACAGTTATAATATGAGTACAAACTTTAATAGATAACCAGCTAATATTAATGTGTAGGCAGTAGGCACTGTATAAGAATAAGTATCTACTTAACGCAACCTCTTAACTTTTTTTTTAGACACAATGTGAAAAATATTGGTGTAGTATAAAGTTCAAATCTCTATAACATCGATAAAAAGTAAAAAGTTGAGGAAATTCCATCATAAATTAATTTTTGGTACCCGTTGTTTTAGGTCACTGCCGAAACTCAGTACCCAAGACGAAGACGGCTGTGGTCCAGGGGCAAGTCTTGGCACAGGCCTCACACACGGTCATCCTCAACACTGTTCGGGGAGCGCAACATTCGAGCCGATACCACACGATCACGATTTCTGCGAAAGAGTAACAATCAACGTAAGTAATATACCTCTGCATTATAATATGTGATTTTTTAATAAGGTATTAGATACAAACATAAATTAGACATGTATTTTTGGCAATAATTTTTCTTCGTCTACTACAAAAACTTTATTTCAATGTTTGTTCTATATTTTTAAATAATTGCATAGGTAATGCACAAACAGACGTACATCCAGCGTGTCGATGTTGATTTATTGTGTATCTTTAAATCCATCCTTATTTATTACATATCTATATTTGTGGTATCATCAATTTATATAAATTTGATTTATTCTGGTGTCCGTGACGTTTTAGTATAACTGTTCGTCTCGATTAGTGACAAACTTCAGTTAATGTTGACTTTGCAAAATGGTCTGGGATTTGATGAGCAGCGCATGGTTATTGTGAAACGATGCTTATAATATATATTATTTATACATTTTTATACAAAAATAGCTGTTCAAAGAATATATATCGATATTACACAGCATAATCGATGAAGGTTTGAATTGAGGGTAGAAAACTTTTGATGGAATAAGAAATGGTCGGCTGAGCTACGAAAATGTTAGCCGAAGATGTTGTCAAAACTATGAAATTGTAAGAAGGCTTTCGTAAAAATTATCTATCCTTATAATATTCATACAGCTTACGTATATATATTTTGTAAATAGCGCACGTAATGATCCAGAGTGAGGTCCGGAGGGAATGTGGAGAGAAATCAATTACTAGCCAAATTTAATTAGAAACTTGTGTAATATTTATTGAAATCACAACACTGAAGGAAGTTTTGATATTTTGTGACTGAGAAAACGCCTGTTTATCATACTATATACGAAGTTCCTACGTCTAGACCAGATACAAGACTTTTTAAACAATTTTCTTTTATCATAATCATTCTTTTATTCACACGTTTCTGTAAAATTTAATTTAATATTTGCGATCAATAGATTAAATCAATTTCGTTTAGAGTGCACTTAAAATGCGCGTTCATCGCGTAAAACCATATAGCACCAATAGAGTTACGATAACTGAGTTTCCATTATCGTGGAGGATTTTTATTCTTATAAGTACCCATCGAATTTAATAAAAACGTATTGGTGACCCATCGTAGATAAAAATTCAAAACCATTGTTATAATAATATAGTAGCAGGTATAATACATAATTATACTTATAGTAGGTATATAATGTGTTAATTTATTAGTTATTAATTACTTCACTATTTTTATTTATTGATAAATTATGAATCTATAAAATAGGACTGAAAAAATAAATGCTGTTGGTTGATACAACTTTATGCTTAAGACATATTTTGATATCGTCATAAAAACATAAAAATTACGTATTTATTCTTTTTTATTTAAGTTAAATTTTATTGATATAGTTTAACCATTAAAAATGCATGTATTTAAAGACATTATATATATTATATCTTGTTTAATATTATACTTTACTTAGATAATATAATTGCTCGACGTTTTTGGATATAATCAATTTAAATAATTTTTTACGTATTCTATTGCATATGAAGTTTGTTAACTATAAGTGTTGACCTAACCTACGTTACGATATTATAAATTGTAAATAGGTACTAGTAACATGATTTTTTTTTTAATCCATCTCAGTGATATAATATATTGGATTGAAAAAAAAATAAATGATTAAACTACAAATTATAATAAAGAGTCCAAATATCGAATTAAAAATGTAATTTCTTCGATGTTTCAATAATCACAAAATCCATAGTATTATACTTATCGGTGAAGTTGAAAAGAACATATGTAATAAACATGTAAGACTATTGCAACTAATCGACGTGAAAATAAAAAAAACATCTTCAAAATTAGTGTGACAGACATCGTCGCATGCAGTAGCACGAAAATATATGCTCACGGGATTATTCCTTTGTTGTTAAGCCCAAAATAGTCGAGCGGCGATGAACTGCCACACACGGTCGTTTTACGATAAATGCAAAGTTCAAGAGGACATCGTACGATATATATTATATTTTATATAATATACATCATACAAAATATAGGTATACGGGCACTTAACTCTTATATAGTATAATGCTCGTTGTATAATGGAAGACATAGCGTGGCCGTGAGCGGAAAATACGGATAAGACGGCGTTCTAAATCGAGGGTGATTTCCCTGCCGCCGCCGTTCTCGGTGAACATGAAGAGCCCTCGTGCGCATTCATTAGTCTCTAAAATCGGGTAAAAGTTTCGAGAGCGGAATTCGCAGCGCGCGTATATAAAATCCTATCGTTAATCATATTTCGTATAACTATATCGGTTGATCCATTTAACGTAAGATAATCAATATTATAAAAACTATTAATATTTTTTATTCATCATTTTAATTTTTTTTAAAACAACACTTTCCAATAAAATTTTATTTTAACAATCTTTCCATTTTTTTTTTCTATGACTTTCTGTATTTTGATAAATAAAAGTCGAAATTTGGATTAATTACTTATGATTTATAAATATTTAAGACTTAGTTAAGCAAAGCAAAATGGAATAGTTCAACTGAGGTGCACTGACAAACGATCACTCACAAAAATCCTGAAATATGTATAGACTACTTATCTGAAATGGTACATTTGTAGATTGATAGAATACTCCGAATAATATTCTGCTTTGAAATACGAAACAAAACTTTATGACGTATCATTTATAAAAATTAAAACTTAAAATATAATAACAATAAAAATTAATGAAAAATAGTTTTTTTTTTCAAAAATAATGTTTGGATAACTTCGAATTATATTTAACCGTAATATTGAAAAAAAGTTTTAGTGTTTTTTTGAAATAATGAATGTCTTATCAATAATCTATTACCTCGTATATTATATATTTATATTATATGTATACGTGATTTATAAATATTATATAAAGAGCAGTTATTTGCGATATAATTATATAACTATATAATCGATAAAATATTTACAATGTATAAACGCTGGTGTTAAACATAGATACATATCATAATAATACTTTAAATATACGTACGTACAAAGTTACACAGCGTCGGATGTGTGTTGATTGAAGTATAAGGATGAAACACAAAGAGATTATATGTTAATATCCCAACTTGCTTTTTTTCAATTTTATCCGCTCAGAAACCGTCTTAAAAAACGCTCTCTCCTAACAGTATGATATAAAACAGTATAATATTCTGATAAGACAAAAAAACTGACATAAAAAATGCATTTAAATAAAAAACTCACCCAAGGGTACAAAAAAATAAATAAACTATATCCCCGTGTTTCATAAAGAATAGGCAAATTCACAAAAATACAAAAGCACCTCTTTTTTAAGACTGGATAAAAACCCAGCTTAATAATTTTGATATCAACCTCAAAACCTCTGATGAAGACGATTATATAAATTTGGGAATCAAAACTAAAAATCAATGTTAAAACAACGACCACTTTAAGACCTTCTCTTATTAGATATCAGAGCAAATGAAGATCAATTTTAAAATATTCATTATTAACAAAAATATTTAATGACTTAGTTCAACATAAAAATATCATTATTCTTGTAATTTTATTTTAAGTGTAATTATATTATAAGACTTGTAATTTTATATGTTAACACATTTTTAATTCAATAAAAAAAAATATATATATAATATTGTGCAGTGGCGGCTCGTAGATAGGGGCGATGGGGCGATCGCCCCCCTTCTAAAATTATCATTTATTACAAATTTATAAGTTTATTATCAATTTTTAATTTTATATTGTAGTATAATATTATCAAAAATAAAAATTGTGTTTTCTATAATATTTATATTATTAAGTATTATGAAAACATTATCAGATAATGGGAGTTTAAAAATAAATCATTCAACACTGTAGCTTCTGAAAATCGATAACCGATAACGATTTACCAATATCCGCGAGCAGCGCATGCCATGCTTGGGCGATGTTAAAAGTCGCTCGTCATAACTATGATCGGAATACAAAAACTAAGAAGGGGGAACACAATAATAATACTGCCGCCGGGGCGATGATTTTAATCGCCCGATATACATGGATTCCGGACTTGCGTATATTTATTATTTACTTTGTGCAGTCATAACTCGCAATCAATTATTTCAATTCGATATTTTTTTCCAAAAATATTTACTGGAATTATTAAGATTTTAATCATGGATTCATCCACACATAAAAATTTTATTAAACAACCATTATTAATATTATTTGTGCTCGATACCTACTTTCCATAAATAAGCAATTTTATATCGCCCTCCCACTTTCAAAGCACACGAGCCGCCACTGATATTGTGATAGCGCTTGATTTTCTAATATGAATATATTATACAATCGAATTAAAAATTAAATTCTTATTTTGAGATTAACTATTTCATTTCGTTTTAATTTTATTAATGCCAAGTCAAAAAAGTATTAACAACTGAGACGTTAAATGTAATTTCTAATAGTTACGATTTAGGTGATGATAAATACACAAATGCTCTTATAGATAATAATATCACGTCATATACACTATTATAGACAGTCGTATAATATACGATATATGATGACATAATATACGTAATGTATATTATAATTTAATATGTGTATAATTTTTACAAACTTGGTTTTAATGTTGAGAAAACTCATTCGGACTTTAAATTTTGTAAACGCGCTATAATAGAAAAATAAGGTACCTTGCCTAGTTTCTACGACCACGATACACCTGTGATCGAACAATACGTGTATGAACCGATTAGACTTTTGCTGTATATGAAATGTGTATAAGCTGTCTTGTATATTTTATACAATTATAATTCACAAACTTATGGTTTGTAATTCTATATATTTTTATTTTTCTGTTAAAAATATCTTAAAATTATTTATATATTCGGATAGAGTTGGTTTCTTGAATCTATTTTTTAGTGATTACTTCATTTCTTGATTCTAGGAATAACTTATGGTAATATTGTAGACACTGAAACTTTGTCGTTACTTGATGTTCCAATGAAATTTAATATTGATTTTTTTTCA